TTCCTCAAACTAGACGTCCCCCACTCTCTCATTCAACCTCACACGGAGCCCCTAGTCGGCTTCGCGGGAGAGCGAGTTCACACTCGGGGATATGTAGACTTGCTGACAACTTTCAGAACGCCACCAGATACAAGGCGGGTCATGGTCCGGTACCTCCTCGTGGAAGCCAACACTTCCTACAACATTATCATCGGGAGGCCAACCTTGAACCAACTCGGAGCGGTAGTGTCAACCCCACACCTCACTATGAAGTTCCCGGGCAAGGACGGTAAGGTCATCTCTGTCAGAGCTAATCAGAAGACAGCTCGGCAATGCTACGCCGAGAGCCTGAAGATCTCCTCGCCAAGCAAGCAAAGCGAGGGGAATCCCCCCACTATAGCTCCTTAAGCTTTTTAGTCTTCTTTTACTTTTAGTACGAACAAGCTGTGCACTCTTTTCCCGCCTCAGTCCTCGACTGAGAGGGTTTTTAACGAGGCACACAAGAACAAATCAATAAAATTATAAGTTTGGCTCAATCCATTTCCTCCAACGTCACGCTTTTGTAAAACTCAAAGTTAAACTAGCCTCTTTCACGTAAAGCCGGGGTCGAATACGAACCTCGGTACTCTAAGTAAAAGGTCAAATTTGAACCTTAAGAAGCGAGGTCGAGTGCGAACCTCGCCCACGTAAAGCTGGGGTCGAATACGAACCTCGGTACTCTAAGTAAAAGGTCGAATTCGAACCTTAATTATCTCGATTATTTTAAAGTGAGGACGAGTACGAACCTCGCCCACGTACTAAACATTTAAAGCATTTAATATCACTAGTCCTAGAACTAATGTGTGTAGTGTCCTTTCCCTTTCCCTTATCTTTCTCTGTGGCTAGATTCTTGGAGGGTTCAAAAGTTTACTTCTTTTCAAAAGTCTTTCCCTCCTTCTTGGAATCTTTCTTTAGAAATGAAGAGTGGGAGCTATCTTTTTTGTAAGATTTTCTCATTCTTTGTTGTTCTACCCTTACACAAAGTTGGACCAAGTCATTTAGGTCCCTGTAGGGTAGTAGCTCCACTTGGTCTCTTATTTCTAAATTAAGACCACTTAAGAACCTAGCTACAGTTGTTGCTTCCTCTTCCCTAATACAAGCCCTCATCATTAAAAGCTCCATTTGTTGCCTGTACTGTTCTACAGACATGTCTCTTTGTTGGAGCCTTTGGAGCTTATTCATAAGCTCCCTCCCATAGTAGGTGGGAATGTGCCTCCTCCTCATTGCACTTTTAAGATCATTCCAATATTGAATTGGAGGATCATTGTGGAGGCGTCTCTCTCTCTCTAGGGCTGTCCACCAATACATGGCATGCCCTTGGAAGCTAAGGGCAGCCAAAGGGACTTTCCTCTCTTCACTTACCCTATGGCAAGCAAAGAGTTGCTCAACCTTCATTTCCCAATCTAAATAAGACTCCACATCATCTTTGCCAAAGAATTGTGGGAGGTCAACCTTGACTTCCCTTGGCCTAGTAGTTCTCCTAGGAGTATGTTGGTAGTGATCCCCTTGATTCATGCTTTCATTAGGGGATGTGTATTGGGAATGTGAGCTCCTACTCTTTTTCTTATGTTTCTTCATATCTTCTTTCAATTTTTCCTCCTCTTGTCTTAAAATTCTCAACTCTTCCTCAAGATAAGCAAGTTGTCCTTCTCTTTCAATTCTTTCCTTCTCTCTTTGAATGGACTCTTGCTTTTTCCATAGTTTAAGTGATTTGAGCTCTTTAGTGATGTAAGAAAGACTTTTTGGAGAGCCATCACTTTCACTATGGGAGGAATCTTGAGACATTTTAATTCAAGAGATATTTTTCACACAAAAATAGTTTTTATGAAAATAAGGTTTTGGAGTGCTTTAGACTTGGCACTTAGAGGTCTAAGAGTACAAATTGAACTTTGGAGGGAGGTGAGCTACTAAAGAGCCACTTAATAACCAAGCCTCTTCAAGTAAAAATCTCTAAACCCCCTTGTACTTTTGTCTTGCACAAAACAATTTTCACAAAGAACTTTTCTTAAAGGAAAAATAACAAGCAAGTGCCTATGTGTACAATTTATAATATGCTTGAAAACATAAAGAACATGAAAACATAAATTGCTTGAAAACATAAATTGCTTGAAAACTTAAACTAGACGTTGAAATCAATTAAACCTAAGTGAGAGCTTGAAAGGCACCAAAGACCTTCAAGGACCACTCTCACAAGTACTACACGTGATTAGATATAAAGGTTCTTAAGGAGAGATGGAGATACACCAAAGGCACTCCAAGACACTCCTTAATAAAGGCCTTGTACAAAAATTTAGAAAGCAAAAAAAATTACAAATCCAAATGAAATTCAAATTTGTTTCAAATGAAATGGAAATTCACACTCCAAATGAAATGTAAATTCACATTCAAATGAAATTAGTGGCTGCACTTAACTTCAAAGAAAACAAATTAGCCACTAATTTAGAAACAAATTTAGAGACGAATTTTGTATGGAAAAACTAGTTTTAGAAACCAAAATTTCCGTCACTAAATTTGGTTCTAAATTTTCACAAAAATTTTCACAAATGGTATAACTACTTCTTGCTCCAATTCAGCCACCAAATGCAGCCTCACAAGGTGTTTCACTCCTCTTTTTAGAAGCAACCTTGATGTTAGTCACTTCTAGGTGTTTTCAAGAGCCTAGCCACCAAGAGAGAACAAACTCCCTAAGCAACCACCAAAGCCTTCAAGTGGATGTCCTTTGCCTTGGCCTCCTACACCTTTCAAGAAGCACTCAACCACCTTCAAGACTGAATATTAGTGCTAAAAACTGAAAAAGAACAATTTAGAATAACTACACCAATTGGTAGAAGGAAATGTGACAAACTAGAGAGAATTCCACAAAATTGACAAGCAACAATTAAAGGAAATTTTGAAAGCTAGCACCCAAAGATTAACCTAGGAAAGGCACTAGAATGGATTACCAAATCAAAAGCTAAGATTAGAAAACAAAATAAGACTCAAAAATGTGGCTGGTCACAAAGATTTACATGCAAAAACAATACCAAAACCGAGAGCAACACATAACCAATTTTCACTCCTTTTGGCTTTTTCTTTTGCTATTTTCTTTCTTTTTCTTTTGCAAAATATTTTTCACTTGTTTTTCTTTTGATGTTCAGGAGATTCAATGCCTTTTAAACACTTATAAGTCTCGGTTTCAATATAGAAAAACTGCAGCAAAAATTTTATACAAAAAAGAGGTGTTCACAAGCATGCTTTCACTAGTGCTTCACAATTTTGTAGTATTTTTAGGTCAAATTTTTAAGCACTTTTTCCTTTGTTTTTCTCATGCAATTAGAACACATACACCTCTGTTTTGCCTCTGTTTTGAATGAGTAATATTTGATAAAGTTTCAGCCACACAATAAACTCAAGGAAAACCTAATAGGAATTAGTGTTTATGAATTTTTTTTTTGACAAAACTTTTAACAAGACATAATAGAAACCTAACTCTAAGAAATTTGCTAGAACTAATAGCAAATTAAGAACTCAAATATGTAAAGTAAAAGCACATATAGGAAGGTTCAGATTTAATAAGAAAATACACAAAAATTTCGGACTCAAGAACACAAAACAAAAAATTAGGTCAAACAAGCTAGTCTAGGAATTTTCAACATGTAAAAGGACTACACATGACTCTAGACAAAACATATAATTCAAAAACAAAATCTATGCAATATGAATGTTGTCCAATCACGGACACATGTTATAGAATGGAGAGACTCAATCAAAAAAAAAAAAAAAGGCACAAGTATAGGATATCCTAGGCGCACAACAACAATTGATTCAAGAAGAATAGGAACAAGAAAACATGAATGAATCACTTCATATATGACATATAGGATCCATCAAAAATCATATTAGAACTAGATCCTTGCAGCAAACATAGATTAAGACATAGACAAGGAAGATACAACACAAATTTCAAGTAGAAAAAGTTAGAACAAAAACCTCAAGAGCACAAGGCTCTAGATACCAAAAATGATGGAGATTAATTGAAGAGATTGATGTTTCCTTCACTTGCTCCATGCTTAGGACCGTGAATGATCTTGAGGTTAAGACTCCAATGGTTCTTTGAAGCTCCTTGAAGTGTTCTTCAATGGAGAAGAAGCCATGAAGTGATTCGGTGTTCCTTAGCTTGCATAGGAAGCTTGAGAAACCATGGCAAAGTTTGAAGAAACTTTGGTGAAAACCTAGAGGGGAAGTTCTCTACGGTTTTGAGAGGACTCTTGAGAGAGAATTCTGAAGTTCAATTCTCATTAATGTCAAAAGTGAGTACAAGTGTGGGAAAATCAAATATATAGGGGAAGGTAACTTGTAGGAGAAGCTAACCTTAACCATGGTTCACTAGGAACCATGGTAGGGTTAACTTAAACTTCCACGATTTAGCTAGCTTCTAGGAGAAGCTAACCTTGACAATGGTTCACTTAAGAACCATGGTAAGGTAAGCTAACCTTACAAAGGTTTAGAAGCTTGCAAGACAAGCTTCAAACCTTTGCAAGGTAACAAGCAATTTTTGGCCAAAGGAGAAGGAACTTAGCTAGGCGGCCTTGAACACATTTAGCTCCATGATTTAATTTAAAGAATGTTTGATTTGGTTTAGTTAGGTTCATCATATGATGATGAGACCTAGCTAAATCAAATCTATGAAAAATTAGGAGCAAAATGAGTCCAATATGCAAAATTTTGCCTAGGCCCAGTTCTGGCCCAATTACTTGTTACACCCACAAGCATTACTAAATGTCACCCCCTTTTCCCTACTGAAAAAATATAAAATGAATGTATCATCTAGGGAGGTTAAATGGAGTTAAACTCTCCAAGTAACCTACCTTAAAATCAATATACAAACAGTAGAAAAAGCAAGTAAAGTGCCTCACAAATACAAAGGCAAAAAATAACCTATACAAGAGACTACTATATGTACAAACAAATGAAAAGGTCTTTAAGATCATCCCATTCCTCTTGGTTCTTTTAAGATATCACCTCTTGGATTCCTTGGCCTTGGCCATAGTCTATCATGACATGGACGAACTCCATGCCCGTGCTGCCGGATACATCCAGATGGAAGAGCACTCTACTTTTCGTGACCAGGTTCGCGGCAAGTCACAGGCAAAGCCAGACCATGGTCACAAGGACAAGATGAAGGTCAACAACGACAGTCAGTTCAAGAAGTCTGCCAGGGCAAACAAAGGGGGGAGATACGACTTTTACACCCCTCTGAGTGCAACCCGAGTACACATCCTGGAGGAAGCTAGCAACAACAACCTACTCACTCTACCACCACCTGGGCACAGTCCCAACAACACAGACAGGACAAAGCACTGCCGGTACCATAGAAACCACGGTCACACCATCGAGGAATGTCGTATACTCCGGGATCGTATAGAGGAGCTCGTCCAGGCAGGGCACCTCGAGCAATACGTACAGCGGTAGCAAGGCCACCGAGGAGGCTACAATGGACGAGGACGAGGGCGGGGTCGCAGAGCAGGCACCTGCACAGACCAACCGTCTGGATCCCAACAAAATACTGGAGGCGTAGTGCAGGCCAAGGTAAGTCAGAAAACAGGGTCGGCCCCCTTGCGGGGCGTCATCAACATAATTGCAGGTGGTTTCGCAGGGGGAGGCTCTAGTAGTTCGGCGCGAAAATGACAATTGCGTAGCATCAACAATGTCCACTCCACTACCTCAGCCTCGCACCAAAGCACACTACCGATCACCTTCACTGACGATGACTACAATGACGTCTGCCCCAACCAGGATGATCCAATGGTCATCGCCGTGGAGGTCACCAACTGGGAGGTCCACAAGACGTTGATTGACCAAGGGAGCTCGATTGACGTCTTATACTGGCCGACGTTCCTCAGGTTAAACATCCCTCACTCCCTTATCCAATCTCACACAGAACCTCTAGTCAGTTTTGCAGGAGAACAGGTTCACACCCGAGGGTACGTGGACCTGCTGACAACCTTCGGGACCTCTCTTGACTCAAGGCGGATCTTGGTCTGATATCTCCTCGTGGAAGCCAACACGTCTTAAAATATCATCATTGGAAGAGCGACGTTGAACCAACTCGGAGCAGTGGTGTCTACCCCACACCTTACGATGAAGTTCCTTGGGAATGGTGGTAAGATTATTTCCATCAAGGCAAACCAGAAGACAGCTCGGCAATGCTACGCCAAGAGTCTAAAGGTCACACCATCCAAGGAGCGCGCCAAAAGGGACCCTCTTATTGTGTCTCACATCGCCCACGTGGACATCACCGACCTAGATCCGAGGTCAGACTCCCATGAAGAACGATCGACTCCCATTGACGAGCTCGACGACCTCCAGATCGGAAAGCTTCCTGGGCAATTCACGAAAATCAGCAGGCAGCTGAACCCGGAGTTACGGCAACAGATCGAAGCTAAAATCTCCAAGAATGCCGACCTCTTTGCATGGTCCAGTGCCGACATGCCAGGTATAGATGCTAACTTCATCTGTCACAGGTTGGCAATTCACAAGGAGGCGAAGCCAGTCGCCTAGAGGAAGAGGAAGGTCAGTGATGAAAGGCGGGAGGCCATCATCACCGAGATGCAAAAGCTACTGAACGCAGGCTTCATCCGTGAGGTCAGGGACACCAAGTGGCTGGAAAACGTGGTCCTAGTGAAGAAGAGCTCAGGGAAATGGCGCATGTGCTTCGACTACACTAATCTGAACAAAACATGCTCCAAGGACTCGTATCCCCTATCGAGTATCGATAGATTGGTCTATATACCCACCAGACGAGGTGCACACGTCGTTCATCACCGACCACACCAACTTCTGCTACCAGGTGATGCCATTCGGTCTCAAAAACACAAGGGCCACTTACCAGCGGCTGATGGACAAGGTTTTCCACCAGCAGATCGGGCAGAACATGGAAGTCTACATTGACGACATGGTGGTCAAAACCACCTCGGCCGAGGGTCATGCTGCCGACCTAGCCGAGGTGTTCAGCCAGATTAGGAGACACAACATGTGTCTCAACCCAAAGAAGTGCGTCTTCGACGTCCAGGGAGGTAAATTTCTTGGCTTCATGATCACTAGCAGGGGGATTGAGGCCAACCCGGAGAAGTGCAAAGCCGTCATTTAGATGCAGAGTCCTCAAACGGTGAAGGAAGTCCAACGCCTGGCAGGAAGGTTGGTTTCCCTGTCCCGTTTCATTCCCAGGCTCACGGAGAAAGTAGAACCCATCTTCACTCTGCTAAGAAAGCCAAAAAATTTTGACTGGACAGACCGGTGCGAAGAGGCTTTCAAGAGCTTCAAAGCCTTCTTCACGACTTTGCCAATCCTCCAGAGGTCGGATCACATAGCCAACCTCATCCTCTACTTGACCGTGGCAGAAGGCGCAATCAGCACAGTTATAGTTCAAGAACACCAGAAATTGCAGACACCGATCTACTTTATTAGCTGAGTGCTCCAAGACACGGAGAAACGATACCAGATGATTGAAATGCTAGCACTGACACTGGTCACCGCAGCTCGGCGTCTCTGACCTTACTTTTAGAGCCACCAGGTGGTCGTCAAAACTGACTACCCAATTAGACAAATTTGCGAAAGCCAGAGCTCGCCGGATGGATGATATTATGGTCAGTGGAGCTGTCCGAGTTCGGCATCAAATATGAAAGTCGTGGCCCCCTCAAAGCCCAATGCCTGGCAGACTTCGTGGCTGAATTAACTCCAACCTCGGCTGACGAACAATGGGTATGGATCTTGCATGTTGAAGGGTCCTCAAATTCTAAGGGTGGTGGTGCAGGTTTAGGGTTTAGAAGGTCTGAATCATGTCACCTTGGAGCAATCTCTCAAGTTTGGCTTCAAAGTGACAAACAACCAAGCGGAGTATGAAGCACTTCTCGCAGGGCTAAGGTTAGCTCACGATCTCGGTGCACGGAAAGTGAGTTGCAACAGTGACTCAAAACTCATGGTAGAGCAGCTCAGCGGGACATACCAGGCCAAGGATGTTCTTCTACAATGGTATTTCCTTGTGGCATCACAACAGATCTTGTCCTTCGACGAGTTCACCATACATCATGTACCGCGAGTGCAAAATACCAGAGCCGACCTCCTGTCAAAGCTCGCTAGCACCAAATGCCCTGGACAGCATCAGACCATCATCCAGGAAACCTTGCATTCACCTAACTTAGATGACAAGATCGTTAATACCAGCGACGGCGAAGAACAGGGATGGATGACATGCATTTTGAACTACTTGAAGGCAGGATTTTTACCCGAGGATAAAGACGAAGCTCGGAAGATGAGGGTAAGGTCGGCTAAGTTCGTAATCGTCAGAGATGAACTGTTCAAACGTGGCATCTCCACCCTATTGCTCAAATGCTTGACTACACCTCAAGCTGCTTATGTCGTAGAGGAGATCCACCGAGGTATATGTGGCATGCACTCTGGAGCACGCTCAATGGCGACCAGGGTACTCCGAGCTAGGTACTACTGGCCCAGTTTGAAGTCAGATTTCCAAGCCTACGTGCAAAAGTGCAAAGAGTGCCAGCAGTTCAGCAATACGCATCGACAACCGCTTGAAGCTCTCCACCAGATGATGTCACCGTGGCCTTTCACTCAGTGGGGAATGGACATCCTGGGACCGTTCTCCCCTGCAAAGGGTCAGCTCAAATTCCTCTTGGTGGCAATCGATTACTTCACCAAGTGGATCGAGGCATGCCAACTCGCCAAGCTCACCACTGAGAATGTACAGAAGTTCACCTGGAAGAGCATCATATGCAGGTTCGGAATTCCCCATTCCCTTGTTACTGATAACGGCCGACAATTCATTGCGCAAAGCTTCGAGGACTTCCTTCGGGAACTCAGAATTAAGCATCTCTCGACCTCGGTGGAACATCCGCAAACTAATGGCCAGGCCGAAGCTGCAAACAAGGTGATACTCAAAGAGCTCAAGAAGCGGCTAGGGAATTCCAAGGGATAATGGGCTGGCGAACTTCCCAGCATCCTCTGGACGTACCGTTGCACCCCCCAATCAACGATGCAGGAAACGCCTTACAGGCTAACTTATGGAGATGACGCCATGATCCCAGTGAAAGTCAGGGAGACATCTCACCGACGCCAGGTCTTCAACAACGAGCAAAACACTCAAGAAATAGCAGCTGACCTTGACTTGATTGACGAGCTCAGAGACAAAGCTCAGATTCATGAAGAAGCATGCAAACTCCGAGCTTCCAGAAGATATAATACGCGAGTGCGACCTCGCTCTTTTCGAGTTGGTGACTTAGTGTGGCGACTGTTAGGCGAAGCACGGAGAGACGTATCAGAAGGAAAGCTTGCACCTAACTAGGGTGACCCATTCCGAGTTGTAGAAGACTTAGAAAATGGGGCATACCGACTAGAAGAACTCAGCAGAAAATCTATCCCGCGAACTTGGAATGCCACACATCTCAAATTTTATTTCAGTTAACTTTGTATGAATGAGCTGTGTACTCTTTTCCCGACTCAGTCTTTTGTCCCAAAAAATAGAAAAAATGGGTTTTGACTAAGAGGGTTTTTAACGAGGCACACCCCCGACATGAATAAAATGACACATTCTCTTTCTATTCATTGTTTTTTAACTTTGCGTTATCTTACCGTAAGATGTTTTACGAGGTCGAATCCGAACTTCGATGCGATGCATTTTACTCTAAGCCGAGGTCGAGTTTGAACCTTGATATGCTTTACTCAAGGCCGAGGTCGAGTTCGAACCTCAGTCCGACTTATTTCACTCTTAGTCAAGGTCAAGTACGAACCCTGATAAGTTTTGTTTGACCAAAAGCCGAGGTCGAGTTTGAACCTTGGTGCGATTTATATTACTTCAGGTTGAGGTCAAGATCGAACCCAGGTACGATTCATCTTACCTTAGGCTGAGGTCGAGTTCGAACCTTAGCACAATTCACTTTACTTTAAACCGAGGTCGAATTCGAACCTTGGTACGATTCATTTTCCTTGAAGCCTAGGTCGAGTTCGAACCTTAGTACAATTCATTTTACTCTAAGCTAAAGTCAAATCCAAACTTCAGTATGAAACTATAACCCAAGGTCGAGTTCGAACCTTGGAAAAATCCATTTTACCTTAAGGCGGGATCGAGTTCAAACCTTAGCACAATTTATTTTAAGCTGAGGTCGAATCCGAACTTCGATACGAAATCATAACCCGAGGACGAGTTCAAACCTTGGCACAACTCGTTTTACTCTAGGCTTAAAGCCGAATTTCATTTCGCACGCAAAAAAAAAGGTCGACATAGAACCATCAAAAATGCAAAGGTGAAAACCCAAAAAATTATATACTCACAACAATGTTTGAAAAGTTCAACACATAAATCCAAAGGAAAGAAAAATAAACTAAGCTATTACAAAATCGGCCTAGGCGGAGGCATTTTCACTTGAGTTATCCTGGAGGTCGTCCTCTTTCACCAGCTTCCCAAAGCGTACCTCTTTCTCCACATTCATAGCGGAGAGGTCGACCCCCGGCGCAAGCAGCCTCGCCTGGCGAGCTGCCTTAAGGAATCCCCTCTTGTGCTTGACCAAAACAGCTCGCTCAGTTTTGACGAGCTTCTTCTCCAGCTCTGCCTTCGCCGCAGCCATCTTTGCGAGGTCTAGCTTCAGAGCAGCGACCTCCTCTTCTTTCCCACCAAGAAGCACCTCGTAAAAAAGATGCTTCTCGGCCTCCGCCACCAGCTCAGCCTTCAGCGAGGTAACCTTGTCTTCCAAGGAGCGCACCCGACCCCGGGAAGAATTGGCGAGTTCCTGTAGCTCACTCGTGAGTCTCATTTGACCTCAGAGCAATCTCTAAGGACTTCTGAACTCTCTCAAGCTCCCTCCTGGTGGCTTGAAGCTCGGCCTCATTCTGCATCTTGGCCTCGCCGAGAGCCACCGCCAAGGCCTTGTTCTCTTCCCTCAAAGGCTGGACTCGGTCTGATGTGAATCAAGAAGAAACAATAATGGACTAGGAATTTAAGTAGTTTGGAACTGAATAATTAATAAGTTCATTATCTTATTTTTAATGTAATTTTCGTTTTATTTTATTTTATTAAATAAATATGATAGGTTGCCTTGCCTTTTAGGTTGCTAAGGGGAAATAAATGCTAGTGGGAATTTATTGCTTAGTTAGTGGGCTAGTGAAGAGTCAATATTAAGTGTTAGTGGGAATTTATGTCATCTTGCCCATCTAAGCTTATAAATAGGAACCATTTGTAAAAGTTTGGGGAGAAAATGAATTATTCAGAATTTGGATATTTTTCCAATTGAGAGGATTTTCTCTCTCTAGGTTCTTAGGAACTACTTTTGATTCTTATCCTTGAATTTCCTAATTCAAAGTGGCGAATCTTCCTCAACTTATCAATCTTTAGGGATTGTGGCGTTGTTCTTCCATTTCTTACCTCAATCCATATTTTTTTCTTTTAATTTCTTAATTATGAGCTTTCCAACCTAGATAGATCCGTAAAACGAATCCATCCCTCTGGGTTCATATCATTTGGTATCAGAGCTTCGG